AGCCTCAAATTTTGTATAGATTTGTCTGAATAAAAATTGTTCATTTACTCTCTAATATATGAAATATCAATTATTAATTTATTTATTTACCATTATTAATATATTTACAGTTTGTCTTAATTCACATTAATTTTGAATAGTGATTTATTAATTTTATTTATAAATGCACAATAAACATTCAGAATACAGAGGGAGTTTAACTAACTTTGCTTTTCATTTCAGGCCTTTGTTAATAGTGTTCTATTAAATGTTACGTGTGTTTGTATAAAACTTGGTTAACAGTTTTAAGTTCCAGTGACTAAAAGTCTTATTTTGTTTTATAAAAATTCATTATCTGCAACTTGTTATCAGCTAGTCAAATTGCATTTTGTTGCGTAAAGCATGCATGTCTTAAATTATTAGTTTTACTGTGTGTCTTTTAACAAATGTTTTACTATAATAAACAAGTCATTTTCTGTTTGTTAAAAATAGCAACAAACATAATTTTCAAAAGACAATCAACTGATATTAAAACCCAAAAATCACTAATTTATCTTATATCATCGTTTGGCAATTTCATTCTATATAAAGTATATATATTATATATACACACACACACACATATTAAATATACTTTGTGTGTGTGTGCATGTCTAGTTAGACTGAAATACATAACATTTGCAAGACTACACAAGTATAATTAGAAAAATGTATAAGTAGTATGCAGATTTCACAGGTCCTATGTTATAATGCAAGGCTTTTTTAATATATTTTAAAGTATTTCCAACCTGAGAAAGATATTTTAGTCTGTGGTTTTGATCACTTACTAATTTGTTGTTTTGGAGATGACTTCAGTGTCAGGATTTGTTTCTGCATAACAAATGGAAATTTTTAACTACAAGTGGTGCAGGGAAATAGAAGCCTAGACAAGGTTGAGAAAGATCAATTAAACCATATAATGGCCACTAGAAAATACCAGACCACTGCCCATAGATTCAAATATTGGACTTCAGGTCAACAAAAGGAATGATTATTAGAGCCAAACATCATGGATCTAACTTAACATCAAGACCTATTTCAGCCACACTTGACCACATAGCACATATGGACTTTGCTGAGAACACTGTAACTGTTGTCAAAACCACCAAGTACCTGTAATCTTCACAAATAAGTCAGTATTTCCTATTTGAATCAATGAATGGCAGGTTTACTTCTCAAGAATCAGAAGTGAAGGATTTGGTCAATATATCATTACTGAATACTGTTGCGTCATCGAGGACACATGACTGGTGTGGCGACACCTATTTTCTAGAACTATCCTGTACCTTGGCGAATGCTCTAGCATTTACTAGATATAGGATAGTCTGGTTGAAGTTAACGTTCATTCGTTATAGTGTTTGTTTTAGCGCGAATATTGAAATTAAATGTGTCCTAAAGTTATATTCAGAAAGAATAAACCAGTTTTATTAAGTAAAGACTTGTGTCGTTAAAA